CGATTTCACAGTAAGAGAAGGAAGGTAAGCTACACTGAATTCAGTTTTGAATTGAGCAATGATTTTTCTAAACGTAGTAAAACGGGGAATTGCGTGATATAAATTTATGGAAATTTATGTTTATTTCTCTTTAACTAATAATGTGTATTGCATTGACACATATCATGTTAAGCCTACATTAGAACTAATTACACTTAAATGACTAGTAGTTGGCCATTATCTAATGTGATAAAAATATATATTATATGTTGCCACCAATTGCAATTTTAAAACAACAGAGAAGATTATAGCCGGGTTAGGTCGACTATTAAATACCCTACACCACATTGTCTAACACAATTCTTACTTTTGTCATAGAAAATACACCAAAATTATGGCCTTTCTTTATAGGAACTTACTGTATATCTCAGCATAGCTAATTTTAAACTATTCCTGTGGATCAATTTTTATTTTTTAAAACATTAAAGCTTTGATTTTTCTGACCAAATTCCGTATAGTTAATTTTTATAGCAAGTTATTATTAGGGATCAACTTGCATCTCAACATATTAAAACTTAAATTTTTCTACGCTAAAAAACATAAATTTCCCTAAAAACTCTTATATAGGCTAAGGTCCAAAAATAGACGTGGCTAATCCAAATTTGTTATAGTGAATTCTTTATCTTAAATTACTATTTTGGGTTAAGTTTCATCACAACATATAAAAATGTAGTCTTTTCTGTCCTATAAAGGATCAATTTGCAAGAAAAGGTATGCGTAGGGTAGGGAGCCGAAAAATATGGTGGTCCCAATTTGGTACGGTTAAATTACTATTATAAGCTGATTTTCATCATGAGGCATTGAAAACTAAATTACACCTTTTTATGATATTGTAAAGAAGTAGACTTCCTTACCCGCTCCGAACGTTAAAGGAGTTGTAACTCTAGTTAAGCTAACTAAACTCTAAGTTCTCATATTCAAAACGCTAGTCCTGTTATCTTCACTCAAACTTGTAATGCTACGCTGCATGACTTTGTTTTACAGCTTTATATAAGTACGAATATAGCTTTTCGTAAGTTACTCTCTTAAGTAGACATTAGCATCTAAGTGGCAGAGTAAGTAAATACACCTTGCGGTGAAAGCTCTAAATATCAACGCATTGGCGTGGCAGTCAATAGCTATAAAAGTAAAGCGCAAACAACAATCTTTTTTTCAGTTTTTCAATAGCATTTGAAAAATAAGTAAGTCAAGAACCCTTAGTAGTTGGTCGCCCTGTCCCTCCGGAAAGAAATCCTTTAGATAGCAGTGTACTCTTGCATCATTATCTTATAGATTCTCGGCCCGAAAGAATACCTTGGCCCTGCGCCTAGCCAGTGGTTGTATATTAGGTATTGTCCGTCCAGAACGGTGTCCTTAAAATAACAGTGTGCTCTTGCAACATTATTTTATAGACTCTCGGTCCGAAAGGATACCCCAGCCTTGCAGAATTTAGTAGTTGGTTACTTTCGGAACGGTGTGCTTAAGGTAACAGTCATGTTGCTGTATCATTGCCTTATGGGCTCCCGGCCTGAAAGCACGCCATAGGAATCTCACACCTTCAGGGACCCGGTAGATTGCCTGCTGAACCACAAAAAAAACTAAGAGATCATACACGTAACAGATCTTTTATTTTCGCAACACAGTCACACGCGGATCATATTTCCTCAGTAAAAAGAAAACAAGGCTGGCCACTAAATACGTGTTGGTTTTTTCTTTTAGCTCGAAGTAACTTCGCAAATAAGGCCATTTTGTACTCTTTTGGAATTCCGCAAATGTATATTTGATTTAATACAAATATACGAAGGTTCCGTTAATTTAACGAATAAATTTCTTAGAATGGACCGCTGGACAGTCCTGAGCGAAACCTCAGCTAAAAATTACCCCCGTTACAATATGATTTCAATTATCGTTACATAAGAGCAGGTTTAAAAATTGTCCCAGCCGGTTCAAAGTTTTTTACCAATTCAGAATAAGGGCCGATCCAAACCATTTTCAATAACGTTCGTCGTTGGGCCAAAACACATCAGTGCACCAAATTCCATCAAAACAGCTCAAAATTCCGACCTGTAACTTGAAAACAAATTTACATGGACAGGCAGGCTTAAATCGATTTAGAATATGATTCTTAAGCGATCGGTACGATATAAGGTGGGTCTATCTTAAGCGTTTCTGTGTGTTACGTACATCCGCACGAAATTAATATACCCTGTACCACAAGCGGTGTAGGGAATAAATAGCACATTTATTACTTACAATTTATAGCGAATATTAGGATCTTCATTATATTCATCGTTCATCATAAGATCTTGATAAACATCTTGCATTTGTTGATGCGCTTGCAATGGGCTTCTTTCAACGTTGTGATTAGGATGTAAAAATCCGATTATGTGAGCATTCTGTTGACTTGATGTTACGTTTAGCGAGGTGTGAAGGTTTTGCATAGGTTGTTGTTGTTGTTGCTGGATTTGCAGCAACATCTGATGGTGTATTTCGTTATCTAGTTCATGATCGTTGGGTCGTTGATGCTCTTGTAAATGAAACAAATGGCCCGGTGAAGATTGTTGTGGCATTCTGCGATGTTGTTGGTGTCGATGGAAATTCAAGTGTACTTCATTGTGGTGCCGTTCTTGTTGTCCTTTGGGTTGAATTTGTGATATTGCGCTATACGATTTACTTTGGTCATGATGTTGATAATTTTGCTGCTGATGTTGGTCAACTTCTGCACATATCTCATTCGCAGTGCTTAATATGGCTTTATCATATTGTTGTCGACATTCAGTTTTATCGGTGCCGACATCTATTTGGTTAAGGCTAAAACTATCAAGATCTCTGCTAGTGGTAGCACTGCATCTTAAATATTTTTGCAATTCCTCGGCAGAACTATTATGTTTTTCTAGTTTCTTATAACAAAAATCCATTTGACTTTGTCCATCATAACAGGTTTTTACATGAATGAATGAGTGAAAATTTTTGTATATAGAGCTATCATTTTGTGGCTTCGAAAGTTGGTTTTCTGTTAACATATTAGTCGGATCATTCTTTACTGTTGCTAGTTCTGTTTGTCTCTGTGTTAAATTTTGCGAAGGTAAATAAGACTCCGTTGCGGTGGAAGTCACATCGTTTTGTGTGCCGTGATCAGAGCCCAAGTTAGGTTTGTACAAATCAAACCTTTCCATGGTCTCATACTGACTCTCTATAGCAGCGGCAATCGATTGATGTTGCTCCTTGTCACCATCAGCAATAACATTTAACGACACTATTTTTGATGATTTTCCGTCATTCTCGTTGTTCGCATTTATATTTACATTTGCACCTGCTATAATATTACTATTATTGCGGTTGCCAGAATATAATTCAGGCGATTGATATTTTTGAGGTATTTTTTCATTGTAGAGATTAGTGGGTTTAGCAGATGTTTTCAAATCTTCTTCAACATTATTATGTCTGTCATCTTCTTTTTCAATCTCAGTATCGGAGTTATAGATTTCATGTGTTCTTTTATCAGTTACTTGATTATTTGTTATGTCGGTAGAGAATTTTGATCCAAGTTTACAACCGTTGCGATAATTTCCATTGTCTTCACTAGTTTTACTAGTAGAAGTTCTGCTTATATCGGAGGTTAGGCTACTACTGCTGGTAGACGTACTACTGCTATTACTCGAGTCACTTAAATCATCTAAATTAGCGCGGGTTCCCGTTTTAGTAAGCTTCGACGTTGAAAATATTTCGCTGTTTTTTCGTAATAAATCAAATTCCTGGAATTGATGGCTTTGTTCAGGCGTACTGCTCACATTATTATTGTGACTTAAAACTATATCTTCTTCGTTGGATTCATTAGTTGCCTTTTTATCAGTGTATGGTGTGGCTTGCAAAAATATTTCAGTGGTTTTGGCAGAAGACTTCAAAGAAGCTTTTTCGCAGTGCGAACTGCATACCCAAACATTATTAGGACTCTTTGCAAGAGACTTTTCACTGCAATCACATGTTACAGTTTTAATAAAATTTGTTTCTTTTTGTATGTTATTTTTTGAAACCATCTCCTCGCTTTTCCAATGCACTATTGAAGTTGAATTTAATTTTTGCAACTCCTGATTGTTATAAGCCCGCTGCTTTTGACCGTCTAAATCTACTTGACCGTGTTCCCAAAATAGTTTTGAATCTTTACGGTTTTCTAAAAATTGTTCGTCAATTTTTATATTTACGCTGCTTTGACCTACATTTAGCGATTTGGATTTTTTTGTATTTTCATTATTTTGCTTTGATTGTTTATTTGTTAGCCTCTCCAATTCGACCTTCTTTTTGGTTGATTCGCCTTTTTTTTCCTGATTTATAATATAGACGGAGCTAGATCTTAAAATCTTACGCACCCTTGAGTTGGTCCTCAAACGCTTTGCCTCCGCGCAGCAATTTGTAGCTACATATCCGTGAGATTTATTTTGGATTTGACGTTGGAAAGACACTGAACCAAGAGTCTTCTCACGATCTCCTTCCATCCCTACTTTTTGTATTGGCAAACGTCTTCGTTTACGTTCAAAAAATTTTTGGTTGACTCTTTTTTCACAGATACTTGGCATTCTATTGGCTGCCAAGGTATTCAAGGAGTCCATCCCTTCTTCCGTAAGATCGTTATTTCTTACACTTATATGTAAACTGTTTTCCGGGTCTAAAAAAGAGGTTTCGCACAAGCAAGCACCGTCACGAGTATCATCACCACCGTTATGCGCTATCGCAGATGCGGCTAGCGTCACTTTTTTTGTCGATCTTGCGGAGCTTAATACCTTATCAAAGCAAATAGCTGCCATTACATTTTTTGTTTCAAAATTGATTGAGAAGGCTGCTTCACATGCTTAATAAACAACTTACTAGTTTCTATAGTTAATCGTGTATAATGTTGTTAGATATCTGTACAAAAACTACTTTTTAGCCTAACTCAGAGGATAGAAATTTATGTGTATAAATTCTAGAGTTCTTTCGTTGTTCTGTAGCTCATACATTCTCCGTGCTTTTGTTGACTCGTTTAGTTATCTATTGTATCAGGAACGATAATTTACTAAAACGAAAAGAACAAATTAATGTTGTTAATCTATTATATAGATAGAAACCAAAATATTCTGCTTACTAACTAAGAAAAACTCCATTCATCGAATCGAGTTAAAGAGCTAAATTTGAGAAACCTAACTATGTCGGAGCTGGTAAATGTGCGCAGATTAAAAAAAAAAAAAAATTCAATCTCTCTCAAACTCTTCACAGCTGCCGAGCTTGCTGCAGCAATCAATATTGTCTGTAAACTAGTTACAATCATACCTCGCAAAGTCAACATTTATTTGCGTTTGACACGTCCGTGATCGCTATAAATTGAATACTGCGCGAGAAGACCGTATATCGTCATTTAATATTTCTGCTCCTTTAGAATAACTTAAAGAGAACATTAGTGATGCCTTTAGGATAAATAGAAATCGGCCTTTGCTTGACGGGTTAAAAAATGAGGAAGCAAAGATGTGCAATATTAGAAAGCATCAATCACTGTTGAAGGAACACGACCGTACTTCATTACCAGTTCGTTGGAAAATAGGGCGCGGTAGAGGCGCGTATAACATTGTCTCTGAAACTTCTTTCTAAGACAATGGTTCCATTGAGAACATTTGCTTCTCACGTTTTCTTTAGCCGGCGCGCTTTGTGGCGTGGTACCGACAGTTACTTGAATGACCCTAGTGCGCATTTTTTATCTTGCACGGTGGGCGTGGGAGCTAAATGGAATTTCTAAGTCTTACTATAACTTTCACGTGCGTTTGCTGTGGTAGTGTAGTGGAAACTCGTTTCTAAGTTTGCCTGCACTGTTATTGTTATTTGAACTGCTTTTAAGCTTCGCCTATATTTTCTTTCCACGGTGCCGCTTCCGTTTCTGAAGGAAAAAAAGTCGGTATAGGCTTGCCCAGTATAATGAAATTATAATGTCCATGCGTGTTGTATTGACTGGATCTACATGACTGCAGTTCCACCTGCACATGCTCTTCTATACGGTGTTGCAGATTATATGCGACCTGATGCAAATTCTGATCAGAGGTTTTTTTGCTTTTTCTCTCATTATTTGGTTCTTCTTTCTCGTTTCGAGGAAAGCCCATTGCGAGACTTTCGTAACGGGTTTGGTTACACCAAATCACGGGAAGAGCGTTTGCTCCATGTGTAGTTGCATGACAATCGGGTGCCTTACCGACAGAAAAGCAAAGGTTTTACATAGTACCCCGATCTTACCAGAGGCGGGATGCGTCCAAATGCGTATCGCCCTCTGCTATTTGGGGCCTAATCCTCGCAGCGCTGAGTTTGCCGCGGGACTGACTGTGCGTTTTTTACATTCTTTATGTTGTCGGCCATCATGCGGTTAAGTCTACAAAGTAGTGTACTCACGTAAAACAGTTGGAGGTCTTTAACGTCGGTGTAACTAAAACTGTATACAGTCGTTCAACTATCACATTTCACATCATTCGCGTAGGAAGGTCGCTAATAAATAAGACAAAGGAAAAGAAACTTAAGTGATTCCCTTCGGGAACACCGGACAACGCGGATATATATGGTGAAGAAACAGACTTAAATAATGCTCTTTGACCTAAAGGCAGGAATATATGTTTCCTGACAAACCAAAAGATTTGAGTTCTCCAATTAATAGGCCTAAAGGCAGGAATATATGTTTCCTGACAAACCAAAAGATTTGAGTTCTCCAATTAATAGGCTGTGACTGGCTTTGTCAAAAGCTTTGGAAAAGTCAGTATAAATGACGATAGCCTGTTTGCGTTAATGAATAAATTAGTCCAAGTTGAACATCCACTGGAGAAAAGCATGCTGGCAAGAAAATAAAACAAATTGGCTTACCGAGAATAGTTCAGTTAATTAGTTACTAACGATTCAACGAACTTAGCCAGAACGCTTCAATTTGCAATCCCCCTGTAGGTTTCTTTATCTTACCTTAGACCCTTTTTATACAATGGCACAATAGACCTAGTCTCCCAACCCATAACCTTTTTGTAACTAACTATTGAAAATATGTGTTAAAGGAGCGCACGTGAACACAGGGCATAAAATTTACCTTTTAAGTAAGAGAAGCAATCAAGCACTGATCTACTGACTTAATAATTTTTAGACAAGCTACTCCTTTCATTTCTTTTCATACGCGAATGTCTGTTGAACCCCATGGGACAATCCTGCGATGCTTTGTTAAAAATAATAAGTGTCTAGATTAAGACAGCACGAAAAAGAACTTTAAAAACGATAGCCAACGTTTCACCAAACACAATATTTTCAAAGTCTCCTTCTTTTAAAGATAACATATGTTTAAATGCGTTATAGCCGAGCGTACTAAACAAACATGTACACTTGAGAGAAGTTAGGTAACCAGAGCTATAAGTGACCATATCAATCATTTCAAAAAATTAGGTAGGATGACAGACATCATCAAGCAGGGATCAGCTAGACTTACTTCAATGTTAGTATCGTTCTAGAACGTTAAATCCGTTATTTACCACTAATATTCAATATCCTATTTGAATGCGATAAAGAAAAACTGCAGAACACAAAAGTATCTCAGCTTATGGTTAAAACGTCAGGAGTCATGTGGGCGCTTGAAATTACCCAGAACAACTATTTTGTGGCTTTATTTCAAACGACTAACAATATGGTGAATAAGTTTCAGATGCGCAATATATACAGAAATAGCACATTTGGGAGGAATATAAAAATAAGTTACATACATCGATATATCCTTAAATTGTATGTGAACAGAAATAAGTTTGACATCGGCAACGATAGGAACTAACACCAAAAACGATGCAATGGCAATTAGAGCAATTCCCTCCAGTTTATATTGCCTATCGTTTCCATATGTCCGATAATGCGTGCAAAGAATTGCAGATATCGTTAACACATGCCTTCACCCATGATACGAATTTTACCATAGTATCCTCTTCTTATAATATTTGGTATTGAGACGACGAATACTAAATGTTAACACGGTATTCAGTTTTTTGAGTCACCTGACATTTAACCTATCTTTGGCACTACAACTATTCTTTAACAGAAACGCTTGAAGATAAAAATCGTTTACTCAAAACCTGCTTGAATACCCCCGGGTGAACAGAAATGATTGCAACAAGAATACATCCCAGGTGGGAGACGCAGTAGATTTAAACAAATATATGCTACCTATATTAATACACACTAACTAATCCGCAATGCTGTTAACAGCAAGATAGCGCATGACGCAAAACACGAAACGAGGATTGCCTTGCATGCAGCAATAACCACTAATCCTCAAAGAGGCTATATAGCTGAATTGTTCGTTCCACCTGGTGACGTAGCATTGTCACAATTAACGGCAATCCACCCATTCAATTGGTGTAATGAAGTAGCTCGTTAGGTTCAGCACCATTCAAATTACTGCTAATACTATTATCCGTTCCATTTATGTGTACTACTATAAAATTCTTCCATATATTCTTAGAACTACCAACTTTCTGGGACCCATACTCCGCAAAATTTGTGGACAAGGCAACCTATTTCTTTGTGATTGCCTTTGACAAAAAATCAATAATGCGTCCACAAATTGATATGTAAAGCGTTGCCGGAGTACTGCAGACAACAGATCGGTTCGAACTTGCTTAGATAGTTTTCTCAGCGCTTAATTACATGGCAGTGCACCACAAGATTTTTTTTACCTGCGATTGACTAGAAGTGGGAAACTAAATCTCAACCGATTCGTACGAAACGGTGCACACGCCACAACAGAAGTTATCCATTGTTTAGCAGCTTGTTGTAAACCAGACGTGCCAAAAACATCACTTCGTATTGATTGAGTTTATCCACCAGAAACTTTAATATATGCTTGGTTTCTACAAACGCTATTTTCGTCCGGAAGAACAGTTCGTAGAAGTCAACGTCCTTCTTCCTGTAATCTAATCACAGCCAAACTATTCCGAGTTCTCTACTTGGAGACCTCCCCAGCAAGTTATGTAGCGGACAGAGCCGGAGATAATTTTCATGTAGCACAGATCGTAGAAGCAACTCGTACGTGCACAATCCCAAATTCTGTCGGAAAAAGCAGTTCACTTCTTTACTATTGTTGTTACGGTGGTTTTGATAATGTTATTGTGCCGTTAATAATATTCGAGTTGTTTTTTGTTAAACTCATCGTTGTAGTATGTGCTACTACTGTTGATAATTCTTGTTTTTAGTATTGTATAGTATTTTTGAGCTTGATATTCTATGTTTGTTTTCTTGAAACGTACCGTTTTAATGAAGTAAACTCAAACAACATTACTAGCAACAAGTGTTTTCCTAAGCAGCTCTACTTATTCCTATAAGCAGCTTTTTATATTGCAAATTTCATAGACAAGGTTAATCAACGCAATTAAAGGAAACATTTACTTCTGGCGAGACTTAGTGTTCCAAATTCCCACACCCCAGTTTATAAGTTTACATTTCCTTGATCTTGGAATGTCTGGGGCATGCCCATTTAATTTTAGTATAATTAATCTTACTCAGCATATTTATTTTTAATACATTGTTAGTGACCCACCATATATTAGCATAAACAATTGCACTTTATTATTAGCAGAAACCTTTTTTTTTTTACTATTAGTGTAAACTTTTATATCACTGGTTTAGTTTTAATTTTGCACTATCAGAGGCATTGTATTAGTTTGGGGAAAAAGAAATCCATTATTTTTATATGAACTTCAGGACTTTATTTAACATGCTTCGGATTGTCCGATTTGGGTCAAATATGCACCGTTTTGTTGTATGATTTGTTGCCATTTTAAAGGTAACTTCAAAATGCCTCTCTCATAGAAGTCCTGGTCTCTGTTTGCAAAAAACTCTAGTAGTCGATTTTCACAATTCTCCCTAGATTCCAATGTTTTATCATTAAAGAAATTTTGCATTTTAGATATTGTCTTACAATATAAACTGTTCTGTGTCAAGTAGAAATACTCATACATAACGTCTTGCTTTCGATAAGTTTTTTACCAAGATATTACCTACCATCTCCTTACATGAACAGAG